ACATTATTTAACAGTTTTCCTTATTACTTTATGAAGAGGCTGAAGTTCTATGAGTAAATTTTAGGCACTTATTTATTTATTTTTAAAAGACTTATTTATTTATGCATTCAAAAACCGGGGCACAGACCAGAGGTGTGGGGAAGTGAGAGGATTCACCAGAGACAGAGTGGGGAGCAGAACAGGCAGATAGACTGAAATACACTGCTGAGGGGAGCAGTGGGCGAGTCAGGAGAGGTCTGCTGTACCATGTGGGTAGTTCCCTGGGCAGGGATCGAATTCATGCTGCAGCAGCTGCGGACAGCCTCTTAGGTTGAGTCTTTTTTTTTTTTTTAATTAGAGGCATGTTTTTATTTATTTATTTATTATATTTGTTTGTTTTGTTTATACATGCACTGGGTATAGTCAGAAGCGCGGGAGGGTGAGAGAATTCACCAGAGCCAGAGCGGGGAGCAGAGCAGGCAGAAGGGCTGAAGTACACTGCTGAGGGGAGCAGCGGGTGGCAGGAGAGGTCTGCGCACCATGTGGGATCCTCCTCCGGTGGCCGGGGAGCAGCCGGGGATCGAACCGGCGCCGCAGAGGCCGCGGGCAGCTTCGCAACCCAGCGCTCAACCGCTGCGCCACCGGGGAGGCCCTTAGGTTGAGTCTTAACCCCTTGCGCCACCAGGGAGGCCCTATGCATTATTTATTTATTTATTTTAAAGATTTATTTACTTATCTATACAAGCACTGGGTACAGTCAGAAATGCAGGAAGGTGAGAGAATTCACCAGAGCCAGAGCGAGGAACAGAACAGGCAGACTGACAAAGTACACTGCCGAGGGGAGCAGCGGGCACTGCAGGAGAGGTCTGCGCACCATGTGGGACCCTCGCCAGTGGCCAGGGATCGAACTGGCACTGCAGAGGTTGCGGGCAGCTTCGCAGCCCAGTGCTCAACTGCTGCACCACCAGGGGAGGCCCTGCATTTATTTTTTAAGGATGGGAATAATACTTGCATGTTTGGAAATCACCTGGTTGATATTAACTATTTGAGTTGCTGTCTTTCCTTTTAGTTTTTGTGGGCATCATCAGTATTTGCTTGTTTTTCATCCATCCTCCTCTCAGTCTATCCATCTCATCTCACACTCATTCCTTTATTCATCTAACACAGTGTTTTACTATGTCCTGCATCCCATTGGCTTTCAGTGGTATAAGAGAGAAGATGGTGTCCTCTGTGTAGATTTCTTAAATTTCCAATGGTTTGCTGGTCCTTTCAGGATTGCCTGAGCCTTACCTTTTCCCACAGGATGACCTTCTTTAACTTCTTTAATGTCTTTCAGTTTGCTTTTCTTCATCTGCTCTTATCTCTCTTTTTCTACTTCTGTTCTACAGATAACTTCCAGGTTTCTTTACTTTTTGCTTATTTTGTCTTTCCCCCTGAATTTTTAAGGAATTCTATGAATTTACTTTTCTGAATTATTAATTTTGTGTCCTGTAGTATTGGATCTGTTTTGAACTACAAATGACCTCCCAACATATGATGGTTTATCTTCGAATGGTGCAAAAGCGATATGCATTCTACAGAAATGTGCTTCAAATTTCGATCTTCTCCCAAGCAGTCAATATGCAGTATGATGCTGCCATGATGCTGGGGAGTGGCATCAAGCCGCAGCTCCCAGTTAGCCCTGTGGTCATGAGGGGAACAGCTCATACTCCACTGTGTGCTGTGTTGCCAAATTTAAATTTACATTTTCAACTTACTTGGGGTGTATTGGGATGTAACCCTATCATAAGTCAAGGAAAATCTGCACATTTGTCATAAACATTTTCTTCTAGTTGTTTAAATAATTGTTAATTAATGATATGCATAATTAAAATCAGATAATATAGGCTAATAGTGAAAAATAACTCCCTCTGCCTGTTTTTCTCTGTTTCTGTCCCTTCCTCATAAATAAGCACCTTTCACATATTTTAAGTTATTTCCTTGGGCACTTTCTTCTCTATTCATGCATAATGAACTTTCATCATATCTTGATTTATTAAACTGACATTATTTAATTTATGCTGCCATAGATGAGGACTTAGAATTGTTCACTCCCCAGCCCACATGTATTTCCAGCTTTATGATAACAATCTTTTTAATTGAATCAATAAATAGTATGTATGTTGCCATGGTCCTACCAGTCACCAAGTTGTAGCCTATGCTTTTTTTTTTTTCTTGGTTGAGACTTTTGCTTTCTTGCTGAAAGTGCTATATTTACTCGTGCTCCCAGACCCATGTTCCCCACTCATTCTCTGTAGGTCCCTCTCTTAGGGTACTCTGGAACCCTCACCCTGCTCTCCTGTGGATGGATTGCTTCCCTGGTTGCTGAGCACTTATCTTGCCTAAGCCAGACCTTGATTTCTTGCCCACATTATGTCCATTGTGTTTCTGGGCCCCACCAAGTCTTCCTGTTTTCTGAATTATTATTTTTCACAATAATTTTTTATTGTTTCAAATCTGCTCTGTTGGCATTTGTACAACATATAGACCAAGTGGGGCAAAGAAAGGATCCCACCCACCCCCCTTTTTTAAGACTTGCAAATTGAAGAAACATTTTGAATCATTTAAAGAACACTATTAGTTTAAAATGCTCATGAACAGTTTTCTGTTACCAATTATGCATTGGAATACCAAAACTGAAACTGCTTTAGTGTCTCCTTAAACTTTGCTACAGTTTAGGATTATTAACTAGACATGTGCCAACAGCATGATAAATGTTGATTTAAGTCTAACTAACTAGAAGTTGACTACAAAATTGCCAGTTACTTCTGCCTTCAAATAAATTGCCAACTACAGCAGGTAAAGGCACAGAGGCCAGGAGTAACCATCCACTCAGTGTGTGGAGTGGAAGGGCAGCCTTTCTTTGTTGCTTCTTTTTTAGTGAAGAGGGATGGTTCTTCTCTCCTTTAACTCTTGAAATTTTATGGTTAACCTGCATTGAGGAAAAGCCTGGACTAGAGTTGAGAAGTAAAATTTTTCCCCTAGGATTAGAAAATGGAAAACAATATTATAAAAAAAACAAACAAACCTTGACTTCTAGAATATACCAGTTTACCATGCCATGCAGGTAAGGTGAGCAGTTTTTAAAGAATTAGCATATCTAAAAAAAAAGTCACAGGACTATACTCAAACTTGCTCAGTTACCTCTTCACATTGCAGCATCTTCAGTGCTTTGGGTGGGGGTCATCCTAAACATTGCCATTGCCTTCCAGTCCAAGCATATAAACTGTGTAGAATGCTGGTTAGCAGAGAGCCAGGTATCAAACAGGTCACATAGAGTGAATTATTACATTTGAACATGGCTTAGTGAAACATTGAGAATACTTCTGGTCAGGATGCCCTCAAAACAAAGTGATTTAGGGGCAGGGAATTTAGGAGGTCTTCCTAACAAGTACACTGACAAATGGAGGTGAGACATGGAGATGGAAAGTCTACAGAGGGTGCATTAATGATCCCTGGGTCTCTCAGGTAACTGTGTAGAATGTATCTCAAGAGTTGTCGAAATATGGGGGAAGGAAGCTGGGGTTTTGAACCCCTCATCTTTCAGTTCTCAGTGACTGAGATGACTTCTAGAGTCTCTAACTTCCTAGTGCTTCTGGCATTTCCTGCACTTGGGCCCAGCACCCTTCCCTGGCCAGGTGGTATCTTTCGTCACAGAGGTGCATGTGTTCCAAGAAGTCAGAAGTCATGTGCTTGCAGGTGATTGTCTGCTGATGCTGCAAGTGACCTCTTGGCATGTGCTGCAGGCTGCTAACTTGGATGAGTTGAGGGCAGTGCACTGATAAAGAAATATATGCCTGGAATGACCTTGAGCCCCACAGTACACTCCATGATGTCCTAAAACAAGTCACTGCTGGGTCCTGAAGACTGGAGGTATTCCAGTGTGTGCGGGTACAGTGAAGGTCTAGACCAAAGGAGACTTAGCTATGTGAGAATAATATGAAAGACAACAGAACACCCCACCCCACCCCCATTATTAACATGCCTAAGAGGGTTTTCATAAACAATGAGGAATTAGAAAATAAAATTAGCTTGCACGATTTCAGATGGGAACAGATGCCTGCTTGCTTGATTTTTTTTTTGTTTTAATTTCCACAAAAACCTCAAGCAGAGTTAATAATGTATGAAAATTAGGTACCATGTGTGCACTTTGCTTCGTAATGTTTTCATTAAGCAGCCAGTTGATTTAAAAATAACACAATATGACAATTGGCATAATGGCAGATGCTGTGGTGTGTATGGAAACATCCTTTTCAAATGTTCTGTCAGGTTTTCCATTACACAAGGGCTTTTTTTTTTTTTCTTTTAAAGCCTTCAGAATTATCACAGAATATGAAAATATATAAAGTTACAATTTGATAAAACAGATTTTCCAAATATATATTCTAGTTGCTTTTTAAAAAATAGTGTAGTCAACTAGAGATAATCTTTGGAAATAAGTTTCTATGGATGTTTAATTTTCCTCAGTAGATTCACACTTCTGTTTTCTCAAATTTTTACCAATATCATTTGCTGATCAGAATTTGCCTTCTTTTTCATATTCCCACCCTCTGCCACTCTGGCCTATACATAACAGAGAGATCTAGGGAGAAGCAATGTGGACCCAGAGGGTTCCAATTACTTGAGCAATGTCCCAGTTCTGGCGGTAAAGTGATTTATAGGCAGTTGATTCATGGTGTCACTGGACTAATAGATGGAAATATCCTCTCCCAGAGTTGAGTTCAGGTCTCTGTCATTCCCTGAAGATGTCCCTGTCATTGAGGGAAGAGCAGTGGGCTACTTCTGTCACTGTGCCCATACCTTTGGGTTTTACTGCAGCTCCACATAGTGGTCCAAAGTTGCCTTCTAGTTTATGTGATCTAGCAGAACATGCTGAGGCATAGGGAAGTTCAGTAATTCAGCCTATCCATGGGGAGATTAATTGCTGATTGAATATATCAATATTCTGCAGCATGTTTTATAACCCACTGCTTTGAAATTGAATACACCTGGCAGGAGAGATACCTCAATCGTGAGGGTGGTTTTTCCAGGACGAGGCGCACACATTATACTCCCAATGTGCTAAACCCTGTGATTTCCCCAAGTGTGGGAATCTGGACTGCATAATTTGTAGTTATGGGGGACTGTGTTCATGCTGCCCCTGCCAAAAAATTTGTTGTTCAACAAAACATATCTTGTGTCCATTCATTTTGTTCATCTGCAGTGTGAGAGAATGATCACACAGGGTGGTTTAAGTGATTTGACAGAATCAGGGCATTTTTTTTCTGGTGGCAGGAGTTGATGGACACTGGAAAGATAGTGAGCATTGCGGAATGTTCTGAAACTGTTATGGCTGATCAGTTTGGGAACATCATGTCCTTTAACTCTTGTCCTTCTAAGGGGCCCAGGCTGGGCATGTCCTTTCTATGCAGCATCCTGTGATCACCCATTTGTGCCCACTGACATCAGCTGGGCCACAGGTGCAGGCCAGCGCCCTCAGAGTAATAATACCTTGTGGTGTTTTAAAAAGTAATTGCAGAGGAGACATTTGATCTTTATGGCTTTTACTATAAGACTTTCTTGGAATCTTTCTAAGATTGGTTGGAACAGAACTTTTCCATCTACACTATGGTCTATAAAAATCATAGCAACTGACTTCATGGGGCTTGATTTTTTTTTTCTTTTGTTATTTTCTTCACTCTTCAATTAGATTTTACTCAAATGTGGACAGAACACTTTAGCAGAAAATAACCAGCATTAAAATAACTCAAAGACGGGGTTGTACCTGGCATATTCCTATTCGTAGCAAGTGTGGAGACAGGTTTTGCCATCCTGGACCTGTGGCAAACTCTAAAAGCCCCTGTCTAGGTGAACATTTGCTCCAGAAGGAGCCAGGTTGACTGGAGGCTTGGCCAGGGGTCCAGAAGCCTGGCCACTACCTGAATTCCACTTTAGGTGTGTCTCTTAACTGGCCTCACTTCCAATGAGGTTACTCCAAAAGCAACCTGGGAATAATAATATCTACCCTTGACCTCTCAGAATGCTAAAGGTGACAAATTGGTTGTCAGAATCTAAGGGGTCATTTATTTCCTGAGTGTGAAAACAGACTTTAAAGAGCTGAAATTAAAATTTCAGGTTGTGCTCATGGGCCTTTGAGGAAGGAGGTGCTCTTTTTAGTTAACTGTAGTCTAAAAAAAGAGAGAATGATCTGAATTAGCTTTTGTGGGACTTATGAGAATATATGAGAACATCTACAAGAAGCTATAATTTTTCACCATCATTCCCTCAAACCGTGTTGGAAGCAGGTTATAGACACCATCTCACTCTAAGAACAGTTCTTCCATCAGGAATGCCTGGGTACCTAATTTGTGCTGAAATGCCTCACAAAACTTCAGTTTTCTAGCGCCTAATGGCTTGGTATGTTGGTTGTTCCCAAGAGAGCGAGGCAGGGATTGTGGCAATAGCAGCATACCATTTTGGCTAGCTCCTTCAAACCCTCCAGCTTAGATGGGTATTACCGGTTGCTGGACAGCAAACCTCATCTGATCATTTCCCGGAACAAGGGGGACTTCGGGAGCGCCAGAGCCTGATGTACAAGGAGCACTGACCTCTCAGAGTAGTCTTCACCTTGGGCCTTTCTTTGGGAACCTGAAGGTACTCACTCATTTTTTTTTTTTCCACGTTCAGACTGGATCATTCTACAATGAGTCCCTACCTACTTGATGCATCACACATCTCAGAGCATGCTCACATGCTGCACTCTGTTCTCAGTGCCTGGGCAGTCAGCCTCAGCAAGTGATGGCATATCATTTACAGAAAAGCAAATTGGGGTACAAAGGATTCAATAGCTTGCCTGAGAGTCTGGCTTTTCTTTTCCCAGGGAACTATTGCCCACTTCCTACTTCAGAAGCAGTTCCCTCAGCTGTGATACCAGCATTTGCTGTGCAATGGTGTCTGGGTTCCACACTGTATTCTTCTATTAAATGCCAGTGAAGACCTATTTAGTTACTCAGCTGACATAAACAGGCACTTGAGCCTTACTTTTCTCTGATACTATTACCCAGTCACTCTTCCAAACAAAATAGGTCCTATTCATTCATTTCTGTGCTCATTCATTTAGTGTTTTGAATGAAATATATGGCAAGCTCAGTCCTACATTAGCTTGTTGCTAGCCCACTAAGGAGCTGCCATGTTAGGATGGCAAAGGGAGATGATCCTGAGGTCCCTACAGATTTTTGCCAGTGGAAAAAAAGTGCAAAGAAGGCTCATAGCTTGGCCTGCTGTGTGCTGCAGGTAGAAGGGTGGTGGTGGTGGTGGTGGTGGTGGTGGTGGTGGTGGAGGGTGCCAACACCGTCAGTATCCTTTGTTTTAAAACAGGGATTATATTAGTAGCCTTGATACAAGCCAAATACTTAGGACAGGACCTGGCTCATTCTAAGTGGGGATCATCAATTATTATTCTGATGGACAGTTAGCTCCAGGAAACAAGGAGCTCTATTTCCCTGGCATCTAGAATTGGGTATAGCATGTAGCTGGTGCTCAATAAATATGTGTTAAATAGAGTTAATTTGTTAAGCAAGAGAGGACATGTAGCTTCTGGAAAGACTATGAGGTTTGGTGTTTAGAGGCCTAGAGTTTGTTCCCATCCCATAAGCTACTGAATATCCAATTTCTCATTTATTTCAGTGGGCATAGTATGTGACATTTTAGTTTCAGCTACCAGTGCTACAAACCCATCTGAGTGTTCCTTAAACAGAAAAGAGCTCAATGACCTTCCCTAACATGACACTAGATTCATCTAGTTTGGCCCTGCCAGGGCTCCCCAGAGGCTTCTGTGTCCCTCTAAATGTCCCCTTCTCATTCAAAGCGCATCTTTTCTTCCTTCGTCTCCTTGCACCTGTGACCTTATTTGGGAGAGAAACCTTTCTCTGCCCTGTTGACTGTGACTTTTGTCATATGCTCGTGTGACAGCAGGGTCAGAACTTTGCCATCTCTGAAGTAGAAGGTTTCTCATGCCAGCAGGGAGGGAAGAAGGACCTGGGCAGATAGCTATCACTGTTGTGCAGGCTTCCCACTGTGGTTTCCCCTGTGGCATGATGATGATATATCCAGCTGTTAATACACATAATCACATCGGTGGGAGTGCATAGTAGCAGTCCCTAACAGATGGCCCATATCTCTAATTGACATTACATTTATGAAGATATATATGTAAAAAGACAGTATGAATGCCTCCTCTCCAGTGTGACCTCAGTCTCCACCATGCTGTATTGTTTTATACATAATTACTTCCCTTATTTTGCTACCTGCTTGATCCCTCAAAGCATTTAAGTTTGTAGGCCCTGTAGTAGAGAACTGAGATATATCTATGTTCAGCTTATATAGTCTATCTTTAGGCAATTAAAGCATGGACATCTTAATTATAAATAAAGTCCTTATTTTCTCAATGGACTGAATCATATATTTGGGAGGTTTGGATCTGGTTATTCCATTTCCCTCTCTTTTTTCTCCATCCTCCTTTTCTGAGATCTACCTTGAGAGGTACAGTGTGGTCAGAGGTCAGTTACCTGACTGCTGGTGGAGACCGTGTGCCCAGAACTGCCTTTGGAATGTTCTATTTCTCTGTATGGCACTAGAGTCATGTGGTTTGGACAGTGTCTCCTTAGCAATATGGACAGTCTCATCAGTTGATTAAAAAACAAACAGAAAACCAAAAATACCCCATTTGGGTGTTTGTAGATCATGTTCACAGGGCCTGTAGTGGTTTATATTTTCCTTGACATGGATTTTCCTGTTAATTTGACAGCTGTTGACATTCTACATGAGTCCATATGTAGTACCAATTTCTTTTCTTCTTTTTCTTTCTTATTTGTTTTCTAAACAAACAAAAAAAAAACTGCTTTCTTGCCTAGAGATGTAAATTCCACATTTTGGCTATATTGGATTCCAAGTTTTCCAAGAAAAGGCTTAAATTTATTAGGTTAGTTCACAATGTTCTTACAGAGAACTTTACTTTGAGGCGTGGGGATTACATGTGGTTGGGGTTGTTTTGCGATAAATAATATAAGAGAATCAGCACTACAGTTTATAGACATTTGGGCTATGCCTGTTGCTTAAATAATGAGCACATGTAATTTGCAAGCTTGGTCCCTGGTGGAAGGGGATGGGATTGGGGTGAAGATCAAATCAATGTTTTCATAGCTTTACACTCTATATTGATGGTGCCTATGAGTCAGTGCAAATCAGATGGACTCTGCAGGGACTTGAGGAGCCTCCATGGAGCTGCTTTAATTGGGAATTGTTCCCCTTCACCCTCTCAGGATCTGGCTGCTCAACAGAATTAAAGAGTACAAAGTGAGTAATAGATTGGATGACAAACAGGTCTTTGCATGAGGTTGAATCATAATAGTGGTGGAAGGCTTGGTTAGGTTATGTCACTGCTATACTTTTATTTTCTATATTTACCTCTTAAGAGGGGAACTAAAACAGAAAAGGTCTCTATTTAATATAAAAATCATGCTTTCTCAGTGTCTAACTTGGAACATGTTCATGATTTCATATGTGTGTGTATCTGTTTATGGATACATACAGACACATGGGATACACACATGTATAAACACATATGCAGACACTGATTTAAATGTAAACTGCTGACAGCAGAAAGCAACTTATCACAGTTTCACCGCAGAACATTGATTTCTAGTTGTTTAGATTTCATGAACTAGGAATATAAAAAATAAATTGAGCAAAATATAAAATCCAGCATGGATTACCAACTTCATATTTTCCAATATCATTAAAAAAATTTTGGAGAGGTGGTAGACTTAGATTTATTGTGGTGATCATTTTGCAGTATATGTAAATATCATTATATTGTACACCTGAAACTAATATAATGTTATATATCAAGTATATCTCAATTTAACAAGTTTTAAATTGTGGTAAAATATACATAAATTTTACCATCCTAACCATTTTTGTGTGTAAAGTTCAGTAACATTAAGTACACTCACATTGCTGTGTAGTTCAACGTGAGTTTTCAGAAGAAAGAGCAAGACAGGGCCTCCATCTGTCATCATTATTTCATATTAGGAAGAACATTTTAACACCAAAGGGAAACAAGGAAGGAAGACTATCATATTAAATGCAGGAAATGTCTCTCCAATCTGTGGTAGAATAGTACAAAGAAAAATAATCATCTATGGAAAAATAATAATGCAGAGAAAAAGCATACAGCAAGGATCTCTTTGTAACCATTACCTAAATTTTGAAAATGCTAACCCTTTGTCATCTTTGATCCAGGTTATTCCAACTCAGAGTGCCTTTTAGATGACCTGTTTGTTACCTGTAGGCTGGAATCAGCTATGCCACTAGGCACAGTTCAGCAGCTGATACTTATTTCTAAGACTTTGTTGGTGAAGAAAGCTGTGTGTTGGTTTACATCCTAGGACATGTGTCTTAACTGTCAGTGATCCAGGTGCCACCAGTTCACATACTGGCACTGGTCAGCATCCCAGATCCAGATCTGGTTTTGTTTTTACAGAAGTGAAGTTGCTGGTTATAATGGAAACCCATATATATTTATTCCTCTATGATCTCATTCTCTTTATTTTCTCTCCAAAGTTTGTTAACGTACTGAAGTAAGTTTGTAGTCCCGCCAGAAACATGTAGCTCTGATTTATGTGACTATATACCACATAATATGTATCTGTCCTCCTGTCAGTGAACAATAGGGTTGTTAACTGAGACAAACAATACTGCATGTACATTCCCGTGTGCCCTTCCTGTGCACATGAGTAAGAGTTTATTCTGGTGAGTTATCTGGGACATGAGTCAGTGGGTCAAAGGCAAAGTGTTATCTTCATTCACAAAATATAATTAGCATATTAATTAGATATTTACTATAGCTTTTTACTTTAATGGGGTGAGGAAAACATAATAAGTCAACTACTAATAACTTTGTTTTTCTGACCAAATTGAGAGTTGCTGATCTTTGGCTTTATCTTTAGGTTAGAATCAAAGTCTGTCTATAATAGAGATATGGCAAATTGGTTACAGGGTTTTTTCTTTGTGTCTTTGGATGTGGGGCAGGGACCAACAGGGAGAAGTCAATCCCTTCATTTAGTTTCCCCCTTTCCATGTGAACGATAAAATGTTTGCAGACTTAGTCTGGGAAGGCCGTTGAAACTGGGTGTTGCTGTTTCTTGGCATTTTTGGTTCTAGAAAATCCTGTGGGCCAAAATTTGGCCATTCTTCTCTTGACAAGTTTCTCAGCAGACCCTTCTGGAGTCGCCCTGCTGTTGTGTGCAGCATTAGATGATCTAAGTTTCTTTCAATATCTCATCTGTGGTTTCTTTGAACAAGTTGGGGAGATAATCCAGAGGAGAAGTAGACCCAGGTTCCTTTGGTGTTGAATGTCAGCTGGCCTGGAGGAAGTCTAGAAGCCTCCATGCCTGGCACCCCCACGTAGCCACCATGCAGCCTGCTAGAAGCCCTCAGGTTTTGGTTACATATGAGTCAGGCTTCAGTCTCAAAATAATAAACTAAAAAAAAAATAAAAAAGGACAAACTGATAACTGAGATGATGTCTAAATGTGCTTGCTGTGCTTTCTTCATAGTCTTCTCTGTTATCATCAGCAATAGTGGAGTATTTTGATCACTCTTTAGAAAACAATAAGTGGGAAGAGAACTTGGTGAGAAAAAGCCATAGAGACACCAAAGGAAGACATAACAGGCTAAAAGCCTTTCCCGTTGTAGGACTCCTTTAATTCTGTCAAGGAAGCCTGTGAGTTGACCATTCTCAAACATGGCAAATTGAATTATGGGTGGGGAAGAATCTGAGACAAATTACACATATGAGCAATCTGCGTTAATGATTCAGGTGCCTGCCTGATAAACATTTTGCAGGTAATTTGGTGTATGTTGCAGAATCACTGTGGTACATGAGGTTATCAGACAAAAGCTCTTAAATTGGTTGCTATCTGTGAAGTAATTAGTGTTTAGATATATAGATACATGTTTACATTTTTAAATAATTCTTTTTTGTTTTTTATAATCAGCTGTCAAAGCTTGAAAAACAACAGCAGAGGAAAGAAAAGACCAGAGCCAAAGGGCCTTCGGAATCGAGCAAAGAACGAAATGCTCCTCGTAAAGAAGACCGCAGCGCCAGCAGTGGGGCTGAGGGCGACGTGTCTTCTGAAAGGGAACCATAGATGGAGGGGGCCGGGACTCAGGTAGGAGCTTCCCCTCCCTACATCCCACATCTTCTCATACTTTGGGCAAAGAGGAATGAGTAGACACAATGACTTTTGAGATAGAATTGACTTTATGGACATTCATCCCTGGCTTTCTTAAATATGCTGACTTCCAGGATGGAAAGAAAAGATGAGATATGGGAGGCCAGGGATTATTCCCCTCGGAGGAGGCTCTGTTCATGCCACCTTCCTCCATTGCCTGTATCAGTTTACAACCACTGCTACTATGAGTTTTTTTAGAGTGTTTGCAAGTACATAATCCAGACCAGGAGCTTCCCATGCACTTTCACCAATGCTGCCTCCTTTCCATTCCTGCCCTCAGAAGCCCCATTGGAGACTATGGTCATCCGCAGCCATGGTCACCTTCTCTCATAATTTCCCACCTCTTGTTATAACTGGCATTGCCAGTTTCCTTTTCCCAAAATAGGGTTTTATGCTTGTCCTTCTATGCTCAGGGAAGGCATTGCAGTTCACTGTGGCATTGAATCCACCTCCCTGCCTGAAGATCAGATGCCTCTGAAATAAGCCCCAGCCATTTAATGGCCCTTCATTCAAGTTCATTTCTTCAGTGAACACATTATGAATAGCTTCTTTCTTTTCAGGAGCTCACAAGTTCAGGGAGAAGCATAGAAATGATTATACTGCAGTATGATGCATTGTGGTGGTGATGGGATTGTGGGGGGTGGGGTGGAGAGGGAAACTGGGGAGGGGCCACAGAGGGAAGGACTCCAGAAAGGACCTCACAGATCATGTCAAATTCTGGGGGAGGTGTGGGTTAGGGCCGGCTGCTGCCTGAGTCAACAGAAGAACAGGTACAAATTTTTTGGGCACCAGGAGGGACAAAGACAGATGAATTTGGATGCAGAGGTAATAAAGAATGGCCGAATGGGCCTCCTCTGGTGGCGCAGACAGTTGAGTGCCGCTCTGTGAAGCTGTCCGCAGCCTCTGCAGTGCCAGTTCAATCCTGGCCGACCGGTGAGGGTCCCACATGGCGAGCAGACCTCTCCTGTCTTCCGCTGCTCCCCTCAGCAGTGTATTTCATCAGTCTGTCTGTTTTGTTCTCCTCTCTGTCTCTGGTGAATCCTCTCATCCTCCCGCGCATCTGGCCTGTACCCCAATTCTTGTATGTATAAATAAATAAATCAATCTTAAAAAAAAAAAAAAAATGGCCAAAGCATTGAGTACAAGTCAGTGGGTATCTGTGGAGCTTCTCTGAAGTTAAGAGAAGTAGGCACGTTTGGGTCATACAGGGTCTTGTGTGCAATTCTGAGAAATATGAATTTTATCCCAGGGGCAATAGGGGACATATAAAAGTGTATGAATGATGTAATCATATACAAGTTTTAAACAATCATAGTAGCAGCATTGGAAAGTAAGGCTGGAAGTTGATAAGCCAGTTAGGAGAAAGTTACGGAAATCAAGAGAACATATTGTGGAAATTGAGGGGAAATGGTGGAATTGAAAACTATAAAGAAAACACAATCATTTCAACTTGGTGACTAATTAGATGTCTTTTTCCTTCAGTTTTAAGATTATAAATAAAAACCTCTTCCCCAGTGAGTTGGGACCTTACAACAAGTTTAAAAAATTTAATTTTCTGACTTCCATGATGAACTCAATGAATAGAAAGGGCTTAAAAGTGAAAGCACTCATCTCCCAGTAACCAACACATGTACCTGCACACATGAGCATGCACATGCATGCACACACACACTGGAATGTAGCCCAGCTTTAAAAATTCAAATGCCACCTACTTAATTCACTTCTTAATTGTAGTATTTAACTACTAATATATTTTATACATTTAATATCTTAATTTTTTAATTATGTCTGATCAATGCTTTGAAAATGAGGGGTATTGAATTCTATTACTTTTTAAGCCAGTGTAAAACATGACAACTTTCCATTAGTGTTAGCTTTTGGACTCAGAATTTCTAAGTCCAATAGTGAATATATCATGGACATCAGGATCCTGTCACCATTGGGGTAGCCTGGGGCTGAGTTTACCATTTGTGTAAGAAAAATCACCTGAAGGCCCTGTGCATAGAGGAAGAGATGGTAATTGTGTTATAGAACATCCAGGATACTTTCACTCATACATGGATAAGCTCAAAGGAAAAACAGGCAAGAGATGAAAGTAGGCATTTCTTTTTTTTTTTTAATTAAAATTTTTTAATATATATTTTACATAATTCTTCATTTTTGTACAATGTATGCTTTTTCATCTCAGTTATAGTTCCCATGAAATTCCCATCACCCATTCACCTGTGTACCATCACCATAATCCCTTGTGTTCTTCCCACCCGCTTTCATCTAGCTCCCTCCTCCGCCCTTGCAGAATGTCTCTGGTTTATAGTTGCCTATTGATTTTGATTTTTACTTTATTATAATTACTTTTTATCCCCTGATCCCTTATTTGGATCCTCTGAAAGTAGGCATTTCTCTCTAACATATCCCAAGCTCAGTAATGAGGCAGCATTTCTCATCGACTTGTAGGTATCTGTTTTTTGCTTCTCTAAAATTGATTAAAAAAATAAAACTCATGGGCCTCCCCTGGTGGCACAGGCAGTTGAGTGCCGCACTGTGAAGCTGTCCACAGCCTCTGCAGCACTAGTTTGATCCCTGCCGGCCGGCGAGGGTCCCACATGGTGTGGCAGACCTCTCCTGTCGTGCCCGCTGCTCCCCTCAGCAGTGTATTTCATCAGTCTGCCTGTTCTGTTCCCCACTCTGTCTCTTGTGACTCCTCTCACCCTCCCATACATCTGGCCTGTACCCCAGTTTTGTACAAATAAATCAATAAATCTTTAAAAAAACCAAAAAACTCGTAATTGTATTTATTCTCAGTGAGTAGCGTAGAACTTGAGGTAAATAATATTATTGTTCTGTCATCTACCCAAAAAGAACTAGCCAGAGAGGGGACCCAGCAGTGGGTGAGCCAAACCTGGAAGCACATTATTTTGAAAAGACTAGACGGATATGTGCTTCTTTTCCTTTCCTGTAAATCAAGTTCATTGCAGCCAAATCTTTATTTTGGGAAGAGGTGGGAAGAAGGTGAATAAAGAGGAGATGTTGGAAAAGCCCTGCCTGACAGGAGGAAGTGAACGTCCTTAGGTCAGGAGAATCATTGGGGAAAGGATAGGACAAGAGGAGGGAAGCCAGAGGCTGCACCTGGCAGTGTGGCCCCCACTCCAGTCCAGAATCCATAGGATGGGGGCTAGGTTGCTGGGCAAGCTGGAAACCATAGGGACCTCTGCTGTAGTCCCTGGTAGGAATTCTGGAAGGAGACTACCATGACAGATGGCTCTAGTCTCCATGAGGCTGCTGCAGTTGAGTAGAATTGGCCACAAGACCTAGTTAGGTATCAGGTGATGGGTGAGGTCCCACCTGCCCTGTGCAGAAGAAAGCTATGTTGGTCCATTGGGCCACCTGTGAGTCGTGGGTGGAAGGGGAGAGGTGAGCCTACTTCAGAGACTGAGGAAATAGTTTCATTCAGGAAGTCAGAAGTCCTTAATAGCACCCATGGTCCCTTCAGTTCTAGCTACAAGCTCTCTAGCCTCCTGGGCGAGACTTGAGGGGTCTGTAATGCTAGCCAGAGTTGGGATGAGGGCCTCTGGCATTGGAGCAGTCAAGTGGTATACCTAGTGGCATGCAGCAGGGCCTAAATACTGAGCCACACACCAACCACCTGGCCACAGGAGCCACTGTGGACTCAGAGCTGTTTTGACATCAAGGCTAGACAGCCTGTGCATTCAGAATTTCCCCTGTTGCTACTGGGAAGGAGACTTATGAGAAAGTTTGGATGGGTCCAAGAAAATGTAAATGCCTTTGTTTCTTTGCACATTTATGTATTACCGTCTGGGTTTTTGACTGAGTACACAAGGAAAAACATTTATTTATTGACAGTTTAAGTTGGAATTGTTAATGAGATGTCAGGCGAGGCCTGGTGCCTGGTGTTGACATGTCAGTGTGTGTGGATATAAGTGAGGGGTCTTCCGAGCATTCATGCTGGTTTCCCCTGGAATCCTCCCACCTCTAGGATTTTAGCCCTGTTCTTGTATTTGTAGACCCTGAAGGGGGCCAGACTAAACAATTGGTACTCCAATTATTTCTGGTTTCTTTGCTGCCCATAGGTTTCTGTTCCCTGCTGCTGAAATTTGTCATCCTAGTAGACCCACAAAATCACCACTCTATGTTAGGTATCTGTAAGAGCTGAATGAAGTAGTAATGATAGAAGGTGACCTTGACATTTACTTTTCTTCACAGAAAAAAACAGAAGTTCTCCTACCCCTTCTCAATGAGGGGAGCTACAGTTTTCATTTGGTTTTTCTTTAAAAACAGAAAGAGCCCTAAGGAACCTCCCAGGCTCTAAGGAGAACAACTTTGAGTTTTGAAGGCATGAGAGAGAAAGAAAAGGCAAAGGAAAATGGAATGAAAAACTGCATGATCTGGGGCATATTTTTCTTTGAAAATGAGTCAAACCCTTTACAGTTTAGAGGACATTCCCAGGGTATCATCATTTCTTATGGTATCGTGAATGTTATTTCTTATTTTGTCAAATGGACATGAAACTGCTAAAATTAACTTCTGTTTTTGTCCATTGTCTCATTCCTTCAGGTTCCCTCAGCTTAGGAGGAGGGTCAGGGTTTCCTGTGAGGTTGCAGCTCAGTTTCTTTCCCTTTCTGGCTCATAGCTTAGGGTGATAGGGCAGTTTCTCACTCAAAAAAAAAAAAAAAAATGTGGTTTCTGCTTGTGATTGCAGGTTCCCCTGTCACAAATATTGAGTATTTGCTTAAATGGCATCAGTAGGGTGTGAGAGGAGTGAGCTCCTCACCAGCACCCCACATTTCTGTTCTCAAATGTCAATACACTTGAAACCAAACAAGGAAAGTGTTTCAGAAGTTGCCATCTGTTTTGTTTTTTTTTTTTTTCAACTTTTGTCTGAATAGTAAGATAGGCCCTGACTGGACACATTTCTTCCT